GAAACTATGCTACAAACAATATAACTGGCCCAAGGTCACATGGTGGGTCAATATATGACAGAGCTAGGACTCAAACTTCAATTGTCTGGCTCCAGAACTCACATTTACTGCTATAGCTTACTTTTCTTAGAAAAGGAAAAAACCCCTGGAATTCATGAAAAACAAAAGAGAAACTAACATTTGAAATCTCTTCTATGTGACAGTTTGTCATTGAATCCTCGCACATGAACTGTGAGGCAGTCCACATTTTGCCAAAGAGAAAATAGAGATTTAGGGAGGTGGAGTAGCTTGCCCAAAGCCAAACGCCAAAAAGTGAGGCTGGAAGTTAATCCGAGGTCCGTCTGGCTCGGAAGTCTGGTCTTTCCTTTCCATTAAACTGTTGCCTCTGCCCATTGGGATTGGGTTTTATAATCCAGTGAAGAGATTACGTCTTCTTCCCCTGGGACAAAATTGAAAAGCAAAGGACAAATGGAAAAGCAGACCAGTGTGTGGGGTCCCTCCCCTCGCTGCCCATTGGTGCTTGTCATTGCATGGGGTGGGGGGCGGTGCATGCAAGACATCCCAAATTTAAAATTCCACGTCTGTAAACCAGTGTCCTCCCCACAATACTTACCACGGGTCATGTGTTTTCAGAAATGTCCTGGGGTCAGGACAGGCGTTGAGAGCTGGCACTTCTCACCAATCATTTAGAGAGGAGTCTGACCATTGGTAAGAGCCACTGCTCCTCAGCAAGCTACCACATCCAGAGGGACAGACATATATTAACTCCTCCAGGTACACGGAGGGTTCCTGAATTTGCCTCCCAAAGCAGTCAAAGGACCACCCCCTTGTTTTCCTGTGTTTTAATTGACCATGAGTATTTCTCCTATTTCTGACAAAGCCTGCTCAGGGATCATTGGAAATTCAGTAAAAAAAAACTCATCAGCTGGGCACTCAAGGACTTTTCCAAGTGTATTTCCAGCTTCATCTTCCATACTGGCCAGGTGCTCTCCAGCTTCTGGGTCTTTGTGCAGGCTGCTCCCGTCTGCATCTGAGTTTCCAGCTGTTGAAATTTCATCGCATCTTTAGTTCCCATCCAAAATATCACTTCTTCCTCGGAAAGTTTTCCACCCACCCTTACCCTCAACAATCGTGCCGGGATATATTAAACCCTAAGACTTCGGAATATTAAACTGGTCTTAGTTATGGTTTTCTTTTTCCCAGTCCATTGCCAGTGGCCTGCATTTAGCGGGCCACTCTAATAGTCAATAAAATATATGCTGGACAGTGTCTGAATGAGTGACTTGTATTCTGGGCCTATTTGTTTACGGGGCTTCAGCTCCTCCCACCCTACTCTCCTCACAGTCGCAGTTCAACTTTAGATAGTCTTTCTGGCACTAATCGCAGCTTCCCTGTCACCATAGCGACGGTGGGGGAGGGGGAGCAAAGCCTCCTTTTGGAACTACAACTCCCATCATGCGCCTGGGCTCCAGGGTGTCAGGTACAGCCTGACCCGGCCCGACCCCTGGGAGCAGAGAAAGGGTGGAATAGAGGAGCTGAGCTCAGCGGGACGGCTTTACTCCAGTCCCACTGCGAAGGTCTTGGCGCCTTAAAACCCAGCAGGCCTCTCGGGCCGGTCTGCACGTGCACCATTACATCGGGCCTAATATGGCCGCTCGCGGTGGGACCGGTCGGGTGCGCACTGCCAGGCCAAGGCCGGGGCTAAGGACCGTTCCCGGCATTCCTCGCGGGAGTGGCTTGGGCTCTCGTCCCCCATCTCCGGGTCCCGCGAGAGGGAGACTCTTCGGGTTTTGAGGTGAGATTCGAGGCTCCGCTTGTCCCTGCGGTGGCTGGGAAGGGCTGGGTCGGGCGGGTCATCCCCGGCAGTGAGCCACCTGACTCCCAGAGTAACAGGGTGTAGAGAGGAGCGTAGAAAGGACACCGGCCGCGCGGCCTGCTTTCCAGAGACCCCTTTGGATGGAGCACATGATCAGCGGTGCAAGGAATCTTCCTGAAGATCTGTCTCTGCTGCAGTCTTAAAACATCAGACGGGGGCCTTCCATCACAGAGGCAGGGAGAAAGGGCCGCAGCACCAACAGAGAATTCTGTGACAGTGTGTCTGTGTCATAGGTTTTTCCAGGGGTAAAGGTGGGGGGCTCTTTGCTGAGCTGTCATCCTGCAAAGCTGAGCACCCTTGGGAGCTAAGCAAATATTTGTTGATTGATTGCAGGTAGTATGGCCCAGGGCTTGATTGAGGTGGAGCGAAAGTTCGTTCCTGGGCCAGAAACAGAGAAGCGCCTGCAAGAGTTGGGTGGCACTCTGGAGCACCGGGTCATCTTCCGAGACAACTACTATGACACCCCTGAGCTGAGCCTCATGCGGGCCGACCACTGGCTCCGACAGCGAGAAAATAGTGGATGGGAGCTCAAATGTCCTGGACCAGCAGGTGTCTCAGGACCCCACACTGAATACAGGGAACTCACAGCTGAGTCTGCAATTGTGGCCCAGCTCTGTGAGGTACTGGGGGTTGAGGTCCTGGGAGCTGGGGATGTGACTGCTGTGCTGGGCCCACTGAGACTGCAGGAAGTAGCCAGTTTTGTGACTAATCGCAGTACCTGGAACTTGGTGCTATCCAGAACTGATAAAGAGGAGCCTCCGCTTGTGGTGGACCTGGATACAGCTGATTTTGGCTACGCTGTGGGTGAAATAGAGGCCCTGGTACAGGAGAAGGCTGAAGTCCCAGCTGCCCTAGAGAAGATCGACAGGCTCAGCAGCATGCTTGGTGAGGGAGACAGGCCCTTCTGTGCTTTTCCTGTTCCTCTAGTTGTACCCACTGGGCCAGTTAGTGGGGAGGGTCTTGGTGTTATTTCTCTAATGGGAACTGTTTTAGCAATCTTCTCGAAGACCCAGTTTGCTTAGGGGTCTATCAAATCCTGTGTTCTCTTTCGTAGTAGCTGTCTAATCAGGATTTAATTCTTCCAACCATCTCTAATCTACCCCAGTCATTCTATCTCATTTAGTTCTCATACCTCTAGCTACTCCAGGTGTCCTTCAGTTCCATTGGTCAGTTCTCTGCTTCAATCCTTCAATCCACCCATCCTTCCTCCAACTCCTATCCCTCCGTTTCTACAACTACCTAAACCTTCATTTAATTCGTCCTGTTAGCTTTGAGTAAAACGCAATAATGTTGTATTTGTGGGACAGACAGTGGGGCAAGCATTAGCAGGTTTTTTTCTTTTCCCAGGCTTAGTGCCCTGTAGACAGTTCACCCACACAAGTATGGGGTCGTGTATTCCATGGGGCCTTACAGCTTTCACCTCCTCAGCAAACATACGCTGAGTTTCCTGTGTGTGCCCAGCATGCTCTCAGGTACTACCAATAAGACACCAGCTTATCATGGCTCCACCACAGAGGCTATAATTTGATGTGAATCCCACACCATGGCTATAGCTGTTTCTCTCCCTTTTTCTTTTTTTTGCGTCCTTTGGTTTCTCTGTGTGCTTCTCTGCATGTGCTTCATGAACAAGCCAGTGAGCTTTGGCCTGCCTACATGGACTTTAATCTTGATTGGGGGACAGGAACAATAACTGAAATGGGTTGAGTCCTGGCAGGGTAGCTCAGTTGGTTAGAGTGTCGTTCTGATACTCCAAAGTTGTGGATTCAATCCCCAGTCAGGGCACATAACAAGAATCAACCAGTGAAAGCATAAGTAAGTAGGACAACAAAAACCAATGTTTCTCTTGCTATAAAATCAGTAAACATTTTTTTTTAAGTTAAAAGAAATGAGTCAGTATTCAGGCACCTGTTTTCATGGCACCTGAGTGCCTGCCTCTTCACCATTTCTCCTTGGAGAAGTTCTCATGCTATAGGCTTGCCACCCCCATTCCTGCCCGAAGTGGCCCTTTTAGGCCTCACTTCCACAGGCCAATCAGGGAGTGGGCTGGTGGGTTACACGAGCTGGTTGGACGGCAGTGTATCCCAGTACTGCCTTGGAAACAACTCTGGGGTCTGGCTGCAAGGGCAGGGAGTAGACTCAAAGCATTTACAGCTCTGTCTGTTTCTCTCCTTATTCTCCTTTTGCCTGTAGGTGTGCTGGCACAGGACAGGGCGCCTGCCAAGCTGATCATGTACCTGCAGCGCTTCCGGCCTCAGGACTATCACCTGCTAGAAGTAAACAGCTCCAGAGAGAAGCCACAGGAGACTAAAGATGCTGACAAGAGCCTGGACTAGGGTGTTACTTCCTCAACAAGGAAGAGAACTCAGCCCAATGGACTCATTCCTTTGCTCACTGTGCCTGTTCCCCTGCTTCCCTTTCCACAATGACTCCTCTCTCTCCAGGCCTGTCTGTTCCTTCACCCTGCCCTCAGCTATCCTTTGTCAAGACCTCCCAGGCTGCATCCTCTCCCTCATCCGTCAAATGCAATCTGTGGGCCGCCCCTCTCCCCTGGCTGCTAAGCAGCCTCCATTGATTTCCGCTCGTGTTTATAGGATTTCCACTTAGCCGTGATCAGTAGTTAAGCACAGGAAAATCCCTTGCCACCCCCCTCCCTTGGTCGATGCCATTGATTCTGCCAGCGGCTCCTAAACCACCTTACAGCTGAGTTAGAGACGAGGGGAGGCAGCAGGGATTTCCCTGCCTTGGGGTGCGGGGAATAGCTGTAGGTTGGGAAATGGATGGGATTCCCTGTTGGAAATCTAGGAGTTCCAGTTCGATCTTGCCACTGTGCCCTGCTCCAGCCCAGATGGTAGAGTGCCTCTTGTGGGGTCAAATTTATTCCCCAGTGTGGAGAGGGGTAGAAAGAAAACCCTCCTTTGTTGAAGAAGGTTCCTAAGGCCAAAGGAAGATAAGTGCTTCATGTTGACTTTTCCCTGCTGTTATTCATATATGTTTTCTAGCTCAAATATACACAAATACGACTCTTCCCTCTTAGGCTTTATTGGGCTTATATTATTTATGGGAGATGGGGCAGCCCTCCCACCTCCCTGGTTTTCACAGTGGCAAGCACAGGACCAGAGTGCCATCTGCTGGTAGTCCTCAGAGGTAGGGTCCCAGTAGCTGGGAACCCAGGGGTGGTTTGGAATATGAGAATTTTTGGCTGAGTGGAGGCTGAATTACTGCCATGTCTCCACAGGCAAGTTGTTCACCTCAAAAATCTCCTGCACCGACTGGCCAAAGTGGTTGTAGGTGAGGCGCAGCTTTAACCGCAAGGGTGCCTAGGAATAGGAGAGTGGAGGCCAGGGTTAGCAACGATGACTTCTCCCTTCCCTGGGTCTTATCCACTGGGGACTCCTGGAGCTCACCTTGTTAGGATTGAGGATTTGGAGGAGCTGGGTTACTGGAAGGCCACCCTGAGCTGGAACTGTATCCCCACTGGGGGCCTGTAGCTGTAGCTCGAAGCTCTAAACACAGGAGGTTGGGCAGAGCTCGCCGGGGTCAGGCAAGCCCTGCACAGCCAATAGTTTCAAACCCTCTTCCCATAACCCCAGTATTCATCTCCACATCACTCCCTCCTCATCTCATTCCCACCCACCTCCTCTACTTAGTGGCCTTTTCTCCTGGAGTATCTAGGCCACCTCTGAATCCTGGCCTTCTACAAACCTTGGGCACAGCGGCCTGGCAAACAAAGTGGGTGACATCACCCTCTGAGGCGTTGGTAGCGGTGACTGTGATTAAGAGCAAAGCAGGGGTCCCGGGGGGTCTAACAAAAGACAGATTCAGCTGTAGTCCTTCGCGCTCAAACACTTTGAGATTTGGGATGGGAGCTAGGGTAGGAAGAGAGAAGCAGCTCATTGTATGGGCCAAAGATGACTTCACTCATTTATCCAACAAAAATTAAAATGAGCACTACTTGGGATGTTGGTGACAAAGCGGACAAGAAGTTGGAGCTGACAGTCTAGTTGGGGGAGAGAATAAACAAGAGAGCAAGATGATCACAAACCATAATTGGTGCTAGAAGGAAATGAACTAGGCCAGAATAACTGGGAGGAACTAACTAAAATAGGAGTGGTAGGGGAAGTATCTGACATTTTAGCTGAGCCTTCTGACATTTTAGCTGAGGCTTGCAGACAGAATAAGCCAGTCACTTGATGTGCTTGGGAGAGAATGTTCCATGTAAAAAGAACATGAACTGCCAAGGGCTTGAGGTGAGAGGGTCTGAGGAGCTGAGAAGGGGGCCAGTGGAGTGAGAAGTAGGAAAGTATATGAGGTGGGCTGGGAAGGAAGCAGGGCCCACAGGCCAGGGTAAGGCGTCTAGAATAAAACAAAGACATTGAAGGGCACCCAGGAAGGAACTACATGATCTAATTAGTGAAGCCTTTTACCTACTTGCGGATGTGATAGAGACATACAGTAGAGAAGAGAGAACCTGAACCTCAGTCCTTGCCCAAGGAGAAGGAGCATGTTTCTAAGTGCCCCCCCCCCCCAGACATCTCCCTTTTACTGAGCCTTACCCAGGGTTGGGGGAGCACAGGGAAGGTCCAGCAGGTGTATTAAAGTGTCTTCTGGGGAGGGATCCAGAGGGGGAGGCTGCTGGGCATCCCCAGAGGTGCCGTGCAGGAGATCTAACAGATCCAGGAGCTTTGAGGCCTGGGGGAAAGGGCAGAAGGACCAGGGCTAGGAATGGAAGCCCGCCAAGTCCTCTTCTCCCAGGGGCTTCTGGTCTTACCTGGGGATCCGTGGAGACAGGGGCTGCTTCTTTTCTTTCCTTTGCTTCCTCATCAACCTGAGGACCACCTCGTTCCACAAGAGGCATCTTTTCCAGGATGGCAGCCCTGAGAGGATGCAATGTAGGTGTGTCCCTCTGGATGAAGCCTGTGCTTTTTACAAGAGGCACATGGGAGGAGGGGTAAGAGCACGAGAGCCCTGAGCACATGGTGGGTTGGAAGGGCCCTCTGATTGCAAAGATGGCATACTGTTGCTGGTTTTCAGATGAGCAAGGTCTGGAAGCCAGCTTAGCTTCAATGAACTGTGGGTGAGAGGATCTGACTGGATGAAGAGGGCACAAGGGAAGCTGAGACCCTTGTACCCAGAAGGGGATTTGGGGAAGAGCACGTCTGGAGAGGGCAGGGGTTAGGGCCTCTGCTGTGGCAGCGTGCCAGCCGCACCTCATGTGGTCGTACTTCTGGAAGAGTGTGTTGTACTCCACGGCCCGCTGTTGCAGCTCCACGTCCAGGCAGCTCCCATAGATGGACACCACCTGGCGGATGCGGCTGGACCACAGGATGGTGTGAGTGGGAATGGCAGTCTGCCTTGCCCTTCACCTCCATGATGTGTCAGAGAAGGGAGAGGCCCCACAGAGCAGGGAGGTACCCATGACACTTGGCTCAAAAGGAAGAACCTAAGGGTTGGGGGTATTAGGGTGTGTGCTTGAAGAGAAACTCAGAACTGGTGGGCACAGTGGAGACATCTCTCGCTGAAGGCACCAAAAGGAGGGTCTGTGAGAGGGGCTAGGACCCCTTCTTACTTGTTGTCCCCACGAAGTCGGGTGCTAAGCTTCATGAGGGCTGTGAGGGCGTATCCTCGGGTGGTTGGCAGGGATATATGGGACTGCAGCACCTTTTCCAGTAATGCCAACACCTGTTCTTCCTCCACCTTTGCGGGGGCGGGGGGCACAGGTAGTGACCCTGGGGCCAGTCCTGCCTCCCCTGACAAGTCCCTCTGCAGCTTACCCTCAACGCAGATCTCACCTGAATTGGCTCAGTTTCCTCACAGCTCCCCTCCAGCAAAAGGTCGCCGTACTCCCCAATGCACCAGGCTGCCACTTGCACCAGTGGTTGCTGCATGGGGTAAGAAACATGCTGGGTCCCCTCCTCACTTCCAGACCCTGTGACATCCCTTTAGGCAGTGCAGAGATGGTGGGTTTTGCAGAGGTGAGGAAAGGGAAAGGGTCTTGGCACAAGGAGCAGTTATAATTTGTTCCCCAACTGTCCTGGCTCCTGGGCTTCCTCTGCCCCCTGGTGGCCAAGCATCAGAACTACATGGCCTAACCATGGGTGCAGGGCGAATGAAAGGAGGGTCCCTCCCTTGAGAAGGGGCGGATGGTTTCTGCCCATCCAACTTAAGTGACATGGACAGGGGGGCTATAGAACTGGCTGCATTTGTTAATTCACTCAGCATTTAGGTAATAATAAGGTCTAAAACATGCAGAAGGAGCTTTTACTGATCTCATATGATCTACAACACAGCTCCAGGGAGTGGGCAGGGTACAAAGTTGGGGGCGCTGAGCATAAAGAAAGTTATACTAGTCATCTGGTTACACAGCCAGTAGGCACCAAAATCAGGACAGAAGTCCAAGAGTTCTCACTATAAACAGGGCTCTGTCCTTGAGTGTCTCCTCTACTAAGTAGATGTGGTGACTTTGAGGGAAAATGGTTGGGAACCAGATGTAAGGAGCGGTGGGCCCAAGGAGGGCTGGGAGGGTTGGGCGACCCTGAGTCTGGGTGGTGGGAACATCACCTGGGAGATGTCCAGTGCCAGGGCACTGTAGAGGCGGCGCACAGAGTAGGCGTGGAGCTCCTGCGCCCCGCCAATCAGCTGGGTCAGGTTGGCCACTGCGTCATCCCGAACGTGGGCACCCGCCTGGAGCAGTGAATATGGCCAAGTCAGTGTGGTGAGCCCTGTCCACTCTCACCCAGGCCTCAGACCAGCCCTGGCCTCACCGTTGTCAACACTCGCAGGATGGTATCTACGTGCCATCGCTTGGTTGGGGCAAACCTAGGGGACATATAGCATTTCAGCCCCAGCACTGACCATCCTGATTCTACCCTTTGCCTCCCGGGCACCTGTCACCTCACCTCTCTGCTGCCAGCAGGATGCCTGAGGCACAGTCTGCCCGTAGATCAAGGGGGCAGAACTCCAGAAAGCCTTGAAGCTCTTGCGTCATGGCTCGCACGTTGGAGCTGTTCACCAGAGCCAGGCTCAGTTCCAGGGCCCGCCTAGCAGAAGGAGCTGTGTGTCTCTATGGGGTAGCCTGGCCCCTGCCCTTCCCCTGGCATTTGTCTCCTAGTTCCCTTACTCCAGCTGCCCTGAGGTGGTTCAGGTCTTGGCCACCAGGAACTGGGCTCTTTGTCCTGCTCACCGACTCAGGGAGGCATCAGGTTCCCGAAGACATTCCACCACAGTGGGCCGGTGTCGCTGCACAGCACTGTGATCAGACTGCACCAGTCGCAGCAGTGATGTCAGGGCTACGTACCTGGACAGTATGGGAGAGGCCCCATCACGCCATAGCCAGCAGCCCCCTCCCTGCACCATTCTGCCCTGGGTACAGGGATGGGAATGAATTGGGAGACTCTGGAAGGAGGGCAGAGGGCCAGGGGCTCAGTGGCAGAGCCCAGATGCCTGGAATATAATACCTAATATTCCTGTCACTGTTGAGCAGGAAGCGGCCAAGAATGTTGACAGCTAGAACCTATGGGAGGCAGAGGTCAGGGACAGTTAGGGAAGGAGCAATCTGCTCATTCAGGAGTGGGGACAGCCTGGCACAGGACCTGTCTCTCTGGCTGGGGTGGGTGGGTGGGGCCGCAGTGGGAGAGGCATATGATACCCGCAGACCAGCTGCAGACCGGATGTCCATGATGGTGAGCACAGTTTCTAACAGGACCGCGTTGCCTGAATTTCGGCTGGTATCTGTGTTAGTGGCCACCTGATCAGATGGGAGAGAAGATGCATGTAAATGGGGCTCTGTCCTCTCAGGACTCTGGAAGTTCTCCACAATGTCATTCAATACTCAACCACCTAACGAAGCTCCCTGAGCCCACATCCACTCTCTACCATACTGTGCCCCGGTCCTCATGGAGATCACAGTCTGGAGGGAAACAGACTTTTGGCCTCCTCATGGTGGGCTGTCACACTGGGGATCCAGAGCAGCACACAACCAGCACCCCTCCCCAGGCCCCACCTGGGCGAGCAAGTCATTCATGTTCTCACTGCTCTCCTCATGGTTCCGGCCCAGAATCCGAAGCAGACGAAGTATCTGGACCTGAGGTTGGATTAAAGGTTGAGAGGGGGAGGGGTTCTTAGGGTAAGAAGTCATGGGGACGAAGAGAAAAACCTGACATCGAGGAGAGCATTGGGAAAGGTCTGGCTGCTTTCCGAGAGCCTCCCCGCCCCTCCGCCTCCCCTCTACAGGTCCCTTGGGTCCTGGGAGGGGATCAGAGGTACGTGAGTCCAGGGGACTGGGGGGTCAGGCTGTTTTTTATTGTTACTACACTGGATTCTCTGACCTTCAGGCATACCTTCCCTGCACCGGTCCTGGGATGACCTGGGCAGTCCTGTGTCTGCCACCCTGCCCAAGACACTGAGTCAAAGTCTTCTCTGGGAGGTGACCACTGGCCATGGGCTTACAGCCAAGCTCTTGTTCCAGGGACACAGCAGAGAAGGATCAGCCCACCTGTAGGAAGGGGTCACTGACTCCCGATATGCTGTGTTCTGTGGTGTGTCCTGTCGTCACCAGAGTCCGGAAGATCCGCACCAGCTGGGGCACCACCTGGAGGGAGGCCACAGTCTTATCTGGGCACTCTTCCTCATCTTCTCAACCTTCAGCCTCATCCCAACCCCGCTGCCCCTCTTTTCCTGGCCCAGGGTCTGTCCCTTCACCAGCCCACCTTTCGAAAATGCTTGAGGGCTGCAGGGCTTCGTTCGCAGAGCTCTGTGATCAGCGTGATGGTGCCCAGCAGGACGCCTGGGGTCAGGGCAGGGGAAGTGAATGGTGGGCGAGGGGCACAGGGATTCCACTGTGTGTGTGCACATACTACCCTTCTCCAATGAGCTAAGTATCCTGTCCCATTTTCCACCTTTGGCCACAGCCAGAGCTGAGGCAGGGCATGGGGAGCCCTGGGGCCTTACCATGGTGCTGTTCATGAAGCAGTTTGGCACAAACTGGTAGGAAGATGTCAGAGAGCTCAGGGACCTTTCGGATCATGTGCACTGCAGTCAGAACGGCCTGCAGAAGTCAGGGGCTCACGATGGATCACCCCCCACCTCAGCCATGTGGCAAAAGGGACAGCTTCTAGAGGGGAAAGGGCCTGCAATCCCACCATCTCACCTTCTTGCGCACATAGGGGCTGGGACCCAGGAGCAGTCTCTCCACCTCAGTGGCCAGGTCCCGACACATCTCAGCAGAGCCCATGGCACTCAGAGTGCACAGGGCCAGGCCTTGTACTGCCTGGATACCCTGGCTCAGGTCACTGCACAGTTTTGAGAGGACAGTCTGTCAAGCCTCTGAGAAATTCAGTCCTTTCAGTGCCTACAGCAGGCAGTCCCCTGGATTTCCCAGTTCCTCACTCTCCCATTGTCCTGATTCCAAGTGCTTCCCAGAACCCCCTTACTTCTTGATGCTGTTGGTAATAAGCAGGTGGGCATCCTGTCTCTCATCCAGTAGAAGCATGGCACCCAGGTAGCCCACCCTCTTGTCTATGAACCTGGCGGAGGCAATCAGTTTCAGGCACTCCATCTACAGGGGAAGGGGCAGACCAGGAAGGGGAAATGAGTGAAGCCAGAGACACTAACAGCCATTGTCTATCTTCCTCCTTAACACCAGGTTAATTTGTGGGGGCACCATATCCCATCACTCTCCACTCTGTGCAACAAAAGGAGAGGCTTAGAGCTAGTGGGTAGTTTCAAGGTAACAGGAGTTGAGGAGAATAGGAGAGGAGAGAAGGAGGTGCCTGGGAGGGGGCTGGCCAGAGAACGAAGGGTTCAGTACAACTGCCGACCAATAGGGAATGTAATGGGGCAGGACGTCTGCAGTGCATGCTGTGAGGGCTCAGAATATTGCAGTATTAAAAAACAGGGGCACACATTGATGAGCAAGTCCAAGACCCTGGCCCACTAGCCTTTCTCATCCCTGAAAGCAGGCATCCCTGACCAGTACCTGTCCAAAGTGGGCAGGATAGCCCAACATGTGGACATAGAGCAGTTTGGCCAGCTGGCGGTGCCTCTGCAGAGGGTCCCCGTCGCGGAACGAGGCCCGGATGTGGGCACACTCCCTTTGGATCACTTCCCGCTCCTGGGCCTGGGTCTTGGCCCCACGAATCTCCTCAATTAGATCTTGAAGCTTCAGCGAAGGCACCACCATCCTGAGCGGGGAGGCGGGGACTGGAGCCCGAGAATGGAAAGAGGACTTTAACCCTCTCTGGCTGGGAGTGTCTGGCTTTTCTGCCCACTCTTGCCCTGTACCAAGATCCTGACGGCCGGGGTCTCAAGGCTCCTCTAAAACTGAACCCACATTCACCTTTCCCCGCGTGTCTCCAAACTCCACCCCCTTCTCCCCGCCGGAGATCCCCACTACGCATGCGTCTCCGCCCAACCCAGCACACTTTCCTACTGAGGCTGCGCCGGGACCCCGCCTATTTGCCCCTCTCCACCCCACCTGGTTTTTCATCTCTGGCTCACCCATTCCTTTCCTTCCAGGGCTCTTCCCTAGTTCCTCCGCGGGACTCCTCCCCAGGCTCGCATTTTAGGCGCCCAGCTTCCCCACACACGATACCAACCTCACCTGGTTTGTGGCTCAACTCCGTTCCTCTCCCCCCGGCGTTTCCTGGTACTTGGCGGGGCGGGAGTTGGTGTCGGTCTGGTCCTTCCCTCTCCCCGCCCCCATCACGGGATCCCGCCCCTCCTGGGCCGCCCAGCGGAGCCGTCGTAAGTCGTCTGGCCTCAGGTTTTGGACTTTTGGAAGAGTCTTTGACTACATAGGAGACTTGAGACTGCCTAACAGGCCTGCAGTTCCCAAGAGGGCTTCTCTCGTACATTCTCGCCACCCTTGCATCCTCAGAGCTTGGGTTTGAAGCCATCGCATCCCACAGGAAATGACAATCCTCCCCTTTTTAGAACTTTTTTATTAATATATTTTTTTGTTAAATTTCTTTGTATTTTTTTCCTGCAAGACTTGGTGTTGGCGGCACTGTTGTAGTTTAACTTCAGTCCCAAATTCCATGAAATAGAAATCAGAAGTAAAGGTTGAGAAGGGAGGAGGGAGGGAGGCAGTCCAAGGAGTAAACAGAGTTCGACTAGAAAAAAGAAGAGGGTGTGTGTGGTGGGCATTCCCAGGCAAGGCCATTCCTTGAGGGAGGGGTTTGACAGGCAGCTTGCCTCTGCCTCATGCAGGGGTAGGGAGGAAAGATCCCCTGGGGACCTTACAGTCCCCTCTTCCTAGGGCTTCCTGCCCCCAGGGGAAAAGTTAGTGCCAGGGATCAGCCACAACCTCAAACAGGGCTCTCCTCTCCACCCACCTTACGGCCCATTTTGACTCCCACCTCTGCCCTGCCTGGAAAGTGTGTGATATATTGGCTTCCTGTGATCCCCTCCTTCTGTTTATCCATGTCACAATATTCTGATATGATGTGGGAAAAAATATAACCTTCATAGAGATTAAGCTTGTCACAACTTTTGCTGCCCTGTGAGTTCCTGTTAACTGGTCTGGTTCCGTTCCTCAAAACTGCCTCCCCTACCACAACTGCCAGAGTTGGGGAGTGGGGTCCTTGCTCAAGTGCCTGGAACCTTCTGCAGTAGCAATGTCTTCTTCAGGCCCCATAGAATTTAATCAAAGGCCACGAGTGAGTCCAGACCAACCAAATGAACTTGGAGGGGAGAGGGGAGGGTGGGAGAGATCACTGGGTGACGTGGCTGCCCTGGGCTCCTTTTTTCCTTTACACATGGCATGCCACCCTAGGGGGTTGGATGAGGGGCTGGCTGTTGAGGGGGAAAAGTGGGAGATGCTAGGGAGTCATTCTAGCTTTAATTACTTTTCATATCTTCTTTAGGGAAGGATAGAATTAGGCAAGAACCTATCTCAGTGCTTGGAGGGGTGGGGGGTAAGATCCTCCGAAGTTGGAGATGGTGGCTATACCTCCTCCAGCTTTTTTACTAGGCCTCAGAGGGACACCAGGTCCCTGGGGTAGGGAGCCACAGCAGCTCAACCAGCGCCTTGCCCAGTGTGGTCACTCCTCCACTTTCTTCCTTCTTTTTACACAGCTTTCAGGAGACTCCTCAGGATACCAAACCCCCACCCTCATCCAAGTTCAGGTCTAAAGAAAAGGTGGGGAGGGTCTGGAGCAATGGTCTGACTTAGATTTGTGTGTCTCAGAGAAGAGAGCAACTCTGAGCAAGAAAAGCCCTTCATATGTAAACAATCTAGAGAAAGGAGGGGTTGGGTTGGGGAATGGAGTGAGGAAGACAGAGACAGATCCAGAATAAACGAGAAAATCTGAAAGGAGAGCCAGAAGAAAAAGCAAGAGACAAAAATGAAGGGAGACAGAAAGGAAAGGGAGAAGAGAAAGAAAGGAGAAAAAAACAAGCAGAGGGGGGAAAGAGAGAAAGGCAGGTCAAAGGAGTGAAGAGGCAGCAACCAAAGCCAGAATTAGGCCAGGCAGGAGCCTTAGGTAAGGAGCTGGGAGAACAGGAATGCCAGGCTGAGGTCCAGGAGGGCCACGGCTCCCACCACCAGGGGGTTGGCAGCTCCCTAGAGAGGAAGGAGAAATGCAGTCTCAGTCCCTGAGGACCAGGTCCAGCGACAGATCCTATCTTCCTGCCCTGGCCAAAGTGGCAAAGCTGGAGGGTCCCAGGCACCTCTCCTCAGAGGCCAGAGCAGAGCATGGGCCTTTGTTTTGGATTGCAAAATACCCCTCTTCTCCCAGCCAGGGCCGCATGTTCTGTCTGGCTTCCTCAAATCAGAAACAGCCCTTCCTCCCTCCACTCCGCTCCCACCAGCATGTCACGTGGCCCAGGCAGAAGGTGCCTTAGTAGCATACATTGATTGGCAGCAGCAGCCAGTACTGCAGTAAAGCAGAAAGGGATGAAGGGGTAAGGATGTGGTTGCTAGGAAACAGAAGCCTGGAGTCCAATCAAAATAGAGGGTTTTGGGGAAACTCCACCCCTCCTGGTTTTCTGACTTTTTTTTTTTTCTTCTATTTTTCTTCTTCCCAGGAGAGGGAGGGAGAGTCAGAGTAGGGAGGGTACGAGCTTTTCCTTTTTTATTTCTGGGCACCAAAGAGAGAAAGTGTGGAGGTGGGGGCGGGGGTGGAGTAGGAAACTGGGAGCCAGAAATGATATGGAAGGAGAACAGGGAAAAATGTTCTGGCTGTATTGTTCATTATTAGTCTGTAACCTTGGGCAAGTTACTTTAAGTGCTCTGGGCCTCAGCTTCCCTTTCTGTCATAAGAGGGAGTTAGACATGAAGATCTTTAAGGTTTCTTCCAGCTCTCAAATTTTAAAAAGAATTTGAGGTAGGATATGGTTTAAGACTGGGCAGGCAGAGAGAAAGGGGAATCCACATCAAAGCCCCTCAGGGGATCAGAGAGCGGCCAGGAAAGGGTGAGAGGCAAGGCTCTGAGAAGAGAGCCCAAAAGGAGCTGAGACTCAGAGGGCACAGAGTAGAACGGAGGTGTCTGTCTCACCGGCTGGGCAGGCCTCGCAGTTGCAGCTGGCTCCTCAAGCTCTTCCATCAGGCACCCAGCTTCAGGACCCCTTGAGGGTGGGCCCCTTAGGACTGGTGTGGCCGCGGGCTCAGGTGCCAAGGTCCTCATGGGGGACGAGGGCTCTTCATCTTCCCCTTCCTCCTCTCGAAGACTTCCGGAACTGTCACTGCAGCCTCCAAGGAGTGGGGAACCATCTCTGGGTCCTGGGCCCTGGATCCCAGCCTCATCCTCGGCCTCATAGCCAGCTAGTTCCTCTGCCTGCTCACCTGGGCACCCCCACTCCCCAGGCCAAGCTTTGGGGCTGGAGAAGGGACCCCGGTCCCCTCCAGGAGGCAGTGGGTTCCGGCAGGCAGGGGGTTGCCAGGGTTGGCGGGAGGAGGCAGGACTGCTGGGCAGTTCGGGAGAGCCCTCTGAGGGGGTAAGTCCATTTTCGTACACCCCAGGGCTGTCTTCATCCAAGGGCTCTGTGTCAGAACCTTCTGAGTCCTGCCTGGGTCTGCGGCCTGGGGCAGGGATAGCTAAGAATCAGAGGGGCCTAACTGGCCTTGGACTGCAAAAGCTCCAGCTTTATCCCCCTGACTGGGCACCTCCCAGGACTTTGGTATTTCCAGGCTTATAGCCTCTCACTGCAAGACCCCAGCCCCTTGTCCTCATTACCCTATTATCAATTCCCAGGTCTACTCCCTACCCTGCCACCCCTCAGACCCTCATACCTTGGCTTTCCCATGCCTTCCCCTTTCCCCTCCAGCTCCCCAGCGGGCCCAGTCCCCACCCCAGGCTGTCCATGCCTCACCTGGGGCCTCTAACATGGGTTGCAGATCCTGGGCTATGAGTTTGGCCATTCGAGCAGCCTCCACAGCCTTCTCAGCAACGCTGCTGGCTGCTACTGCCTTTAGAAGGGCGTCTGCTGCCCTGTCAGGTTCCAGGGACAGGGACTTAGCAGACCTGCACAGATGCTCCAGCCCCTTGGCCCATGCAAACCCCTGCCCCCCAACACATCCCCAGCCCAGCAGGGTAGCTGGCCTCTAGTCTCCTCTCCTAGACCTGGCCTGTGCCTCCTGTCATCACACCCTCCTGGTCCTCTCACACCCTTCCACCATCTTGTCCTGCAGTAACACTTCCCTTCTTTAAGCCACAGGGCCAGCCCCCCCCCCCCAGCTGCTCTCAGCTGTGTTATGCTGTTCCTGCCTTCTCCTGTCCCATTGACAAGTGAGCCCTTGCTCTCTTAGCACAGCCCTCTGTAGATATACCTGCTTGGTGCTTATAAGCTATGCCTGCCTGCCCTCTGTGCCGTTGGCACCTCCTGTTGTTAACAACTCCTCTCACACCCCCTGGGGTCACACAGCTCTCTGTGGGGTCCTGGGTGTTTTCCTGTCCCTCAGTCCTGCCCTTGTAACAGCTTCATCCCCTGCCCTTGCTCTTAGCCACTCTCTCCCCATGTGAGGGGCCTTTGCCTCCCTCCCCCTCGCCACTGCCAGCTGTTATTGAATCCTGCCTCTCTCTGCAGATTTCCTGACATGAGAACGTCACGTGTTGCTTTTCCTTAACCTCTTCTGTTATTCCACCATTCTCCTCCCTTTCTCACCGTGACTGCTGCCCCTGCCCCACCTCATCTTTCTCAACTCTGGAACTAGAGTGAGGGTGGGTCCCCCCTTTCTGCTATTGTCTGTTCCTTCTCCCTGCCAACCTGCATGCTTTCTCACCACTGTGATGACACCTTTTGGGTAAGCTCCTAGGCTCCCTTCTACAGCCCCCTCCCCCCCTACCCTGCTCCTTAGGTACAGGGTACCTTGGAGCATTATCCAGTCCTTTCCCTGCTCTTGTTTCCAAGTTCTCCCTCTGAGGTCAGTCACTTTCTCCATGTTCCCTTCCCTTTCACCTCCTGCTGTTAGTGGTAGATGCCCTGTAATCATTAAGTGACTTCTGTAATCTTGACCGCTATACTCTCAATGGGATCGAATGGATCAAGATCCATGGCTTCCTCTGGCCCCAGGCCTGTTGAGTCTGGCCTAAGAGGCAGTCTGGGTGTGGGGATAGGGAGGAGGGTGGCGGCATCCACTGCAGACTCAGGTCCACCTGCTCTGTATGTACCTTGGAAGATATGGTGAGCCTCCTCCTGACACACTTGGTGGGTCAAGGACCTCTACAGCCTGCTTGGAGGAACCTCAGATAATGCTGTTCTTCCATGTTAGGGCTTTCAGACTCTGTATGAACACGACTACCCCTGTCCTGAAACTGAGCTGGTCCTGGTTTAGGGAAGGGGATGAAGATCACAGTCTCGTGTTACATCCAGTTCTATTGGCCGTAAAGGAACTGCAACACGGATAAGAGCCTGTGTTTTTGAACTGGGAGGGGATGGATGATCAAGTCTTAGGCAGTAGATCCAGTCTGTACTTAGGCATCAGGCCAGGCTCAGGCTACCTGGCAGAGGCACCTGCTGCTGAGGCTCTGTTTCCATGGTAGCTCATAGCCAATCAGGTTTGTCAGGCCTGTTGCTGGGGAGACTAACCAGACTCCTCCCACTGCCTGATTCTCTAGCTACTGAAAACAGTTTTTCCTGCACATGCCAACTCTGCATCTAGTAGAAAGTGCTCCCTGGTGCCCTGCCTGCCCCATCCCTGGCTTAAGGCCCCGAACTCTCACCCTCCAGCCACTCAGATATGTGTACACATAGACATCCTCTGGCTCAGGCACCTACTCTGGATGTGACATGGACACACACACACACACACCCCTTGTCACCCATCATACAAACCCAGTAAAGCGTATTTAGATATATCTTGAACTCTTATCCTTTGAAACAGTCCTAAAATTAACCTAAAATCCTCGAACTATGCCCCCCCTTTAAATAAAAGCTAATATATAAAAATAATATGGATGAACTGCATAACTCAGGGACCTATGAATGCCATTACAAATGGGCTTTGGCTTTCTTTGGGTTTGGGCGATCCACTCCAGTAGTCACGAGCCATATGTAGCTATTAAGCACTTAAGATGTGACTGGACTGAATTGAAATGATATGCTATGAGTATAAAATATATACTAGATTTCAAAGACTTAGTAAAAAAGGGGGGATGTAAAATATCTCATAATTTTATATTAATTATGGGTTGAAATGATAGTATTTTGGATATACTGGTTTAAATAAAATATATTATTTAAATTCACTTCATCTATTTCTTTTAATTTTTTTATGGTTACTAGAAGATTTAAAATTATTTATTCGGCTTACATTATGTTGCTACTGGACAGCCCTGCTTTAAATGACAAGGTTCCTGAGGCATGGAAATGTAATCTGACTTACAGAAAACAAAATTTTCATTTACGGGCAAAGCCTCTTCTCCAAAAATCTTTATCTTTGGGTAAAGACTGGGAGGCAGAGGAAGTAAAACTAAGAGGGGGCTTTCTTTTTAGGTGGAGAGGTCAGCCGTACAAACTAGACCTTTCCGAGACTCCAGGTTTTAATGATACCAGGCTGTGGGCAGGCTGGGCTGTGGTTGGGAACACACACTCCACCCCGCTCCCCAGAGCTGCTGCTCTCCCGCCGGGGGCCTGGAGGCTGGAGCAGCTGCAAGAAGGGGAAGACTAGGAGCCTGAGTTCTGTGAGGTTTCTGGGCCTGCAAAAGGCAGTGTTCACCGAATCCCACTTACAATGACACACATCCCCATAAAGGACACTAAGACACACTTAAAATCTAACATGGCTTCCCTCAAATACCCGGCCACCCACGGTTACACCCATATCCACCTGTAGCCTCAGATAAACACCTAACGCTACAACTGCCTGGTCTTAGGCTTGCTCTTCCACACTAGGCCTTAGGCCGTGTGCCCTGGTCCTCTTTTAAGCACCAACCCCCTTCCCTGTCTCGAGGGTACCTTCTCCCCTTAGCTCAGCTTTGGCCCCTGCACCCGATGCCCACCTGGCAGCGGCGATCTCCTGGCGCTGGCGTGCCGCGCTCACTGCTCGACGGGCGCCCTCCACAGCCCTGTCCACCTTCTCCTTGACTTTGCCCCGTCGAAGGGCCAGCGGCAGGAGGCTGCGCACACGCCCCCCGTGCACCAGCCTGTTGCGCTTGTACTTGCCCTCTTCACGGGAGCCGTCGGGGCGGGTAGTGCGCCCGTAGCCGTGCCGCCGGTTGCCCAGCCACTCGCCCTCGTAGCGAAGCCCGTTGGAGCGCTGGCTCACGCCGTAGCCGCTGCGCCGGTCGGCGCGCCATTCGCCCGCATACACCTCGGTGGCTGAGCCCTCGATGAGGGCGGGCGGCGCTGGGGCCGGGGTCCCGCTGGCTTCGGAGCCCGGGGGCCCTGTACTGCCCACCTCGCTGCTCACCTCGCTACGCAGGGAGCCCCGCTTGCTGCCCAAGGAGCTGCGGCGCCCGCCAGCGCGGAGCCCGCTTAGCAGCAGCGAACGGCGAAAGAAGCCGCCGGCCGCGGGGGTGCGCTTGCGGGAGGACGCACCGTCGGCGTCTCCAGGCCCGGCCAGCACGAAGCCTCCCCGCGAGCCAGAGGCCGGGCTGCCCCCCTCGTCTCCGGGCAGGGGCAGGGGCGGGGGCGGCGTTGGGGGGTCGCTGTGGCCGGAGTCCAGAGAGGTGCGGCGGGGAGAGCGGAGCAGCGCCGCCTGGTGGTAGGGCACGCTCTGGCGCACCCCGTAGCCGTGGCGCTTCCCGGCCTGCCACTGGCCCTGGTAGGTGCCTGCGGACGGGGTGGGGGGGGAGACAGTGTCAGGACCCGCCGCTCCTCGCACCCCAGGCTCCAAGCGCCCCTGGAAGCCTTAGCGTGGAGGTCGGGGAAGGGCAGTAGGGCTGGCGACAGGCCAGGGCGGGTCGGAAGGTGCGGAAAAGCGGAGCGAAGAGAGACAGGCAGCCGGAGATCCGCGGGTTTGGGCAATGCGGGAGGAAGGGGAGGGGCGGCAGGCTGGGAGCGTGGCGGACGGACAGTCCGGAGGGTGTGGGGGACAGGCTGACGGGGTGTGTGAGATAGCCATGTGACAAACAAACAGGACCAGGACGGGGACAGCCGACGGAGGGAATGTGAGGGGGCAGGTAGGGCGGGTGTGTGGGCCCCGCAGCGCGGAGGGGTGGGAGGGGCTGGCGACCTGGTGCCTGAGGGTCGGGCGGAGGCGCGCGGGGCGGCGAGGGTCAGGTGGCCGGGGAGAGGGAAAGGCAGGCAGGGGCAGACAGATAGCAAGGCGGGTGCGATGGCGGGAGGGGAGGGCAGGAAGACAGGCTGGGGGCGCTGTCCAGGGGGACAGCGCGGGGGAGAGAGCGGGGCGTGGGGGGGGGGCTATGGCGGGGAAAGGCAGACGCGGGCCGGACCGACTGGGAGGCGTACGCGGACGAGCAGACAGACAGTAGTGGGCCGGGCCCCGCACCTCCGTCGGAGTAGGTCTCGGTGCCGTAGCCGTCCTGGAAGCCGTCCTTCCAGAGCCCGGCGTAGCGCAGGCCGGACACGCTCTCCCACACGCCGCTGCGCCCCTTCAGCCCGCCCAGCCACTCGCCGCGATACGTCCAGCGGCTCTTGCGCTCCACGCCCAGCCCTTCGCGCTTGCCCTGCTGCCAGTGGCCCTGGTAGCTGTGTCCGCCGGGCCCCGTGAAGACGCCCAGTGACTCGAAGCCGTGTGCCCAGCAGCCGCTGTACTCGCCCTGGGCGCCGGGCCCCGTGCACACGCCGTAGCCATGTGCCCGCCCCGCCTCCCAGCCCCCCACGTAGCAGCCCCCGTCGTCAAAGTCGAACTTGCCCCCGGGGGACATGCATGTAGTTGGCGCGGCCTCAGCCCCCCGGCGGCTCAGCGCATCCTGGGGCTGGAGAGCCGGCTGGGGGCCTGGGAGCCGGGCGAGGCCTGGGGGCGGGGGCAGTTAGACCGGGGCCGGGCGGGGGGGCCCCAGCGCGGGCTGGCAGGGCCGGACCCTCATCCTGAGTGGCTGCGGAGAAAGAGGGGGGAAGTGGTGAGCGAGGCCCCTCCTCTTTGCCCGCGGCTCCTTGGCCCGGCGGCTCCGGGGCATCAGCACCGCCCCCAACCCCCCACCTTCGGCAGCATCTCCCAGCAGCTCCTAAGCTTTGGAGGCGCGGGGGCTCCTGCACTCCTCCATTCTTGTTGAGGGCTCCTCCCATGACTTGAGGTTCCCAACCCCAAGCGGGAGTCCCACTTCTCCAATCTAGAACCCCAAAGTGTCGAGTGTAGATGGCAGTTTTGGGGGGGGGAGAATCACGAGAGGGGGCTGGGCAGAGTGTTAGGCCACCCGCTTCCCCGGCTGCTGTCTGCTGTCAGGACCCCTCTGTCCCGATTCTTTCGCTTCCCAGGCAAAGGGGTGGGGGCGGGTTTGAAAATGTAGCGGGGATATTTGAGCAAGGTGGGCAGAGGGTTTGGTGGGGGGAAGGATGGGGATGCGGGGAGGCTCTGCAGGGCAAACGCGAGGTAGGGATGGGCAGACAGGCAGGGGGGAGTGGGTAGGTTACTCACCATGTGGGCTGGGGCTCAGGCTGCCTCCCAGGCACGGCGTCCATGGCAGGATCCCTCCACTCCCACCTCGCCCCGGCAAGCCAAGCCCCCTCCCCTTCCGGAGAGACTGCTCCAACCCCGAGAGCGAAGATGGGGGAGCTGCAGGAGAGAGTCCCCCACTCCCCAGCTGGAGGACCAGGTGGTGTGTGTGGGGGGGCGAGGTAGTGGCAGGGGTGGGGGAAGATGAGAATAGTGTAGGGAAAAAAAATTCTGCCTTGGCTAGAGATGGGAAGACGAGCGGGGAGCTGGGTGGGAAGGGAGAGGGGACTACCAAGAGGGGGTGTTTTTATTATATTTTTTCTTCTTATGGTTGGGAGAGAAAAAAAATCAAAATTCCGATTCCATCCCAGCACAAATCAATGTTTGCTCCATCCCAGCATCACGGGGTAGGTTGGGCCAGGCAGATTTAAAGGGGCAGGGAGAGGAGAGGAGAAGAGAGGGTGGGGCGAGGAGACAGAAGAAAAGACAGTGGCGTTGTTGATAGCGGTGGTGGGGGCAGTGCCCAGGCAGAATAGGATGGATGCCTGATGAACCTGCCGTGAGGGAGGGGGCAGGTAGATGGGAGAATGAGAGGCACGGAGACCCCCCACGGTGGAAAACCGCCCCTGGGATTCTGGCAGGGCGTGGGGTAAGGCTGAGAGCAGGGGAGAAGAATAAGGGGGAGGAGTCTGAGCTGAAGATGGGGAGGCTGGGGGCGGCCAAAGCCAGGCGGAGGAAGAAAGATGCTGGCGAGGCGGGGAGAGGGCGAGAGGAATACAAAGAAAGAGGTGCAGGGGTGAGAGCTGAGGAGTCAGATACTGGCGGGGAGGGAGAAAGGGAGCGGGACCCATTCTGAGACTGGTGAAGGATGGCAAGGAGGAGAGGAGCAGGGGAGGAGGAGAAGGAGGGAGAAATATATACACATGTGGAGAGGGAGAGAGAGAGAGAGAGAGAGAGAGAGAGAGAGAGAGAGAGAAGGCTTGTGAAGGGAGAGAGAAAGCTCTGCATGGGGAAGGGCAGACATGGGTGTAGAAATCCAGGCAGGAAGAGACCAGACAGAGGCTGGAGGGTTGGGAGTGGTGCTTGTGGGGCTTTGGGGAGAAGGCTGAACCTGCCAGCTGCCAGGACACAGCTTTGATACCTGTGTCCACCTAGTCCACCCTCCTCCCTGAGAAGCCACTGCAAGGGGATCCAGGAGGCTCCCCCACCGGCGCTGTCTGAGGAAGCCTGAAATGGGGCCCTGCCAGCAAGCCTGACACCAACCGTGCTTCTCCAGGCCTGGCCATCCTCTGCCCCCCACTATTTTTCGCTGGGTAGTTCCTCTGAAGGGGGAGGGCTGACATGATGGTGTATTGTTTTGGGAGCAAAGCAGGAGGTCATGCTTGGTGGTGCCTCGACAGTGCTGGGGCTTCAGAGTCTTCTCTTTCGCAAACCTAGAGGCAAAGACACTTGGGAATGTTTGGATGGGCCCTTACTGAGGCCAGGTCCCCTGTAGCCTACCACCCCTCCTTGGCTGCTTCCCAGAGAGGTGGCACATTCTGGGCCTTTTTACAGCTGGAAATAGGCACATGTTATCTTCCCGGCCCCCTCCGCTGACTTACATGCTGCATCTGTGCTGCCCCTAAGCATTTAGGAAGAAGACACTGCCCAATTACCCTCAGTGGCACAAATAGTCAGGTGCACTCAATTTCTCTTACTTTCATACGAGGTTTGGTTCACCCCATCATTTTACAGGGAAGAGAACTGAGGCCCCAAAGGAGAAGTCACTCTTGGAAGTCGCACAACAGAAGAGGCAGAGCCAGGGTGAGAACACTAGACCTCAGGCCTTTTGAGCCCTGTAATTCCTCCCGGGATTCCATGCACTTGAGAACCTCCCTTAGAGTCAGGAGCTCCATTTTGAATACTTGGGTGAAATAAAGAGCATGAAGGTTTGGAATCAATAGGACTTTCCCTTCCTTTGATTTCCTGAAGGTGGACATGAGGTTGGAGAAACATGGGAAGTCTCTAGGGCAGGGACCACATTTCAGTGCTTAGTATGGAACAGGGCAGCTATGGGTCCATTTGGGACAAGATCTGTGGTGAAGACCTTCCTCCCTTCTTCTTTCCCTCCCTCCCGCCCTTCCCCAAACATTTACACAGTTTACTGGGGACCAGGCACATTGCCAAGAGCCAGAGATACAATGGTGCACACTGTGGTGCCTGCTCTCTGGGAGCTTACTGTCTAGCAGAGGAGACAGACAACCAACGAGCACTCCAGTGCTCTGATAGGCCCGTGGGGTGGAAACGGGGAATAGGGATGGAACCTAACTTAGGCTGGCTCCTGGGGCCAAGAGGCATCTCGGGTGAATCCAGAAGGGCATTCTGGGGGCAGGCCCAGCTGCATCACATGGCTCACTCCTAGATATTAAAGACTTCCTTCTCCACACATTGCCTTGTCCTGCTCAGGCCTTAATATTCTCCTTTTCTCCAAGAAAAGAAACACAAGTCTATAGGCCTGGTGAGCCCTGTGCCCTGTTCTTTAGGGAGGAAGGGTGGCAGGGTGAGTGGAAGGTGAGAGTGACACCTTGTTGTTAGAGTGACTCCATATTGAATTCTCAGCTGCATGTGAAGGTGCGTGGGGCCTGATGAAGCCCTGAAGAAGTCGCCGACAGAACTGTGTTAGAACATGTGGGACTGGGTGCACAGTCCCAGCCCCGCCATGGCTCCCTGAGCGAGGCAGTCTTTCAGCATCTCTCTGGTCTGTTCCTACAGGTCCTATATAATTTATTCTTTTGGGGCAGAATCCCTTTTTCTCCTGAGGGTACACAGCTTTGTTTTGCCACAATTTACCAATGTCCGGGGGTCATAGAAAAGAGAGGCAACATTAAATGGGGCAGCTCTGTGCTCGCAGCCAGGTGCTGTGTGTGGCACTGCACCTGCAGTCTTCCGTTCAGTCCTTGCCACAGCGCTGTGACTATGAGCAGCTCAGGCTGCAGCCCAAGAGCTGGGCTTTCAAAGATGGCCTGACGGATGTCTGAACCCTGACTGTACTGCCGACTAGCCAGGTAAGTCTGAGAGTATTCTCTAACTTTTCTGAGCTGCAGTTTGTGTACCTCGAAGATGGGAACACCAGAACCTACTCCAGAGCTTACTGTGAGTATTGAAATGATCATGTATGAGTAGTACGTGTGGTAATATGTGTGTGTGGGGCCCTTGGCACAGTGCCTGCCTCGTGCACAGTAAATGCCCAGTAAATGGTGGCTTGAAAAATAAGATGTCATGATGCCAGTGTTAGAGTTGAGGAGTCTGAGACCAAGAAGTTCATTAATTTGCTCAACGTTGCACAGCTAATCTATGGCAGCCTTTGGTTTTGGATACGTATCAGATTCCCATGTTAGTATTACTTTAACAAATGCAACTTATTGGGCCTGTTTATAAAAGTAAAAAAAACTCACTGTAGAATGGGGGAAATAGAGCACAATATCAAGAATAAAAATTACCCAAAGTCTCGGTGTGTAACAAACACTCTCATGGGTTTTCATGTAGTCTTCCCTTTTATGAGTTTTTATTTAACATGATTAGTTAAATGTTGCATGCACAATTTTGTATCCTACGGGTTCACGTTGCATTACACTGTAAGCATTTTTCCATGTCATTAAAATATGTGTGAATTTTTAACGACTTCATAGTATTCCACTGTTTGGATGCAGTGTGATTTGTGTAGCATTCTAGCATAGCACTTTTATGCCCTTCACACTCTTTCTGCTATTAAAAATTGGTATCTTTTATACAAATCTTTGCCTCTCTGATGCTTTTCTTTAAGAATGTTTTATCATGGAAATTTCAAACATATGCCAAAGTAGACAAAACACTAGAACAGAGAACTCCTATGTAGCCATCCCCTAGTTTCAGCAATGATCACTTTGGGCTAATCTTTTTTTCTCTTCTGCCATTTATGTCAATTCCAAGTATCATGTTCTTTCAGTCTTTTGATTTCATGAAGCTGGATTCTTAGCAGTGGAATCACTGGGTCGGTGGATAGAAACACTTTGTGCCCTGGGTGGTGTGGTTCAGTGGATTGATCCCTAAAAGGTCAATTTAGGGATCAATCCCCAAAGGGTTGCCAGTTTGATCCCCAGTCAGGGAACATGCCAAGGTTGCAGGCCGGGTCCCTGTTTGGGGGCATTCAAGAGGCAACCGACTGATGTTTCTCTCCCTCTCTTCCTCCCTCCTTTCCCCCTTTCTCTAAAAATAAATTAAATAAGTGAAATATTAAAAAAAAAGAAGAAACACTTTGTAAGAGTTGGGATTCACTTTGCTGGAATCACTTCTGGAATGGCTGTACAAGTTTATATTTTCACAAATGTGCATGAGAGTGCTGGGCTTAACGTGCTTTGGCCTGT